CGCATAAACTGGGTGGTGAGGTATCTTCCGGGTAGTACCTGAACTACCGGGCCAACTTCGCACAGACCAACTGTGGCATGAACTGGATGGTGAGCTCCTCTCGCGTAGTACCTGAACTACCGGGCCAGCCTGACACAGGCCAACTGTGGCATAAAATGGGTGGTGGGCTACCTCTCGGGTAGTACCTGTACTACCAGGCCAACTTGAAACTGGCCAACCGTAGCATAAACTGGATGGTGAGCTACTTCTCGGGCAGCACCTGAACTACCGGGCCAGCCTGACACAGGCCGACTGTGGTATAAACTGGGAGGTGTTACCCCTCGGGTAGTACCTGAACTACCGGGCCGACTTGAAACAGGCCAACTGTGGTATAAACTGGATGGTGAGCTACTTCCCGGGCAGCACCTGAACTACCGGGCCAGCCTGACACAGGCCGACTGTGGCATAAATTGGGTGGTGAGCTACCTCTCGGGTAGTACCTGAACTACCGGGCCAGACTGACGCAGGCCAATTGTGGTCGGAGTCTAGTCAGACGAGATTCACCAGAAAAGCGTCTCGGCTTGAACCAATCGTGGAATCGCTCTTTTGCAGCGAAGAACAAAGAACACCTCTCAGGCCTAATCCGATCGCAAGCGTACGGGTTCTTCGCAGAGACAGGTACTGTTGCCCTGACAGCCCACTAGCCTACCTGCCGTGTGACAATCATTCGTTTGAGCAGCGCAAGGTAGAAACTTATTGGCTTTGGCACTCACAAGAAGCTTAGGCGGTGAACCAAAACACAGTATAACCACGGGCTTATTACTTTCTCGCGGGTCACAAACCAGGGCCAAGAGCAGGGTACACTGATCTCCGCCCGGGTTGCACATACCCACGGACTGACCCCACGCAAGCGAAGCTCAGGGCAAGGAGTCGTGCATGCGGGCCGTGTATTCGATATCCAGCTCTCGCTCCAAGTGATATGCACTGCAAGTGCCACGAACAAAACAAACAAATCATCGCCTACGCTCTATCACAGCGCTGGTTGGCTCCAGGTCAGGCCGATAGCAGAGACCAGCCCTGGTGGCAAGAGATGCGTTCCCAGCAAGCCGACTGCTCCAATAGGACAGCCAAGTTGCTGAGGGTAAGAGTCCGCGGGGAAAAAACGGTTATGAAACGGAATATTTCGCCTCTGTTGGGGGCCTTAGTTGACAACCAAGGTTAAGAACACACTAATCTTCGCGGTGATGACCTTACCAAGGACTAAAACGCTCCAGTTCCCCAGCCAGGATGTGATTTTCCAACCGACCAATTTCACATCCGGCGCTGCCGGTCAGTGATTCGTTGTACGTGATGCCACGTGCATTAGGACGCAACGGGGGCAAATCTTTCCTTTGTTAAAAGCATTATACTGACAGCACCTCTAAACACAAACAAATGACATGGTCACATCCAACGCCGGTGCTTTCGTCATGTTCCGTGACTTTCCGATATTTCTGAAGAGCAAAATATTCCCTTTAAGCACAATAATAGCACATGAAAGAAAATACAATGCTTAGATTTCGAGCTAGTCTTCCAGAGAACAACGTGCGAGCCTGAATGACAAGAGTAAGGAAGCATATGAGTGAAACCAGTTCAACGAGAAATCTACGAGAGCAGGTACTGGCGATATCAAGGGACCTCACCGAACCAAGCAGCAAATTAAGTTTGGAATAGATGAAATGGCTTGACATAAAACAGAAGGTCTGAAGCCCCTGACTTTTCAGCGTTACGAGTTATTTTGCCGAGAGTAACCGATCTTCGAGATGCGAGGAGGTATTGGTTGAGCGAAGATTTCAAGCGATCCTTAAGTTCACTTTTGACAGTGAGCACTGTCCTGAAACGTAGAAAAGTCTCGTTATCTATCCCACTGATTGATTAATTTTTGTTTAACCTGTACCTCATCGCGCACTGCAGGTCCGTTGCTTTCAGCCCAGGAACTCATAATGCTAATGCAACGAAGCTCACCTCACTCTGCCCACCTTCCACATGGAAGTCAATCTGTTCCCGACATACTCAACTGCGAAAAGCAGCAAACCACACTACTCGCATCACTACAGCTGTCATCGCAATAAATCAGCGACGTATAACGTTTACAACAACAAAAACAACACAAAACCACTAACGAACAACACTATTCGTGCAACCGAACTGGTGACACTGGTAATACTCCTATACTTCTAGCAATACTTCGCGGTAGGGACAAACAGCAGTCTCTCAGTACCGGCCCAGCCGCAAACAAGATGCTCAGATAGTCCGGTTCGCCATAACCCATCCAGCGCAGCCATCCACGAACGCCGAGTCATGGTCTCAAGCAGCCCGTATCGAATCCGGCCAGCCGGCGGCGCCGCTGCGGTGTCCTGGCATCCGCCGGGGTCAGCCAGGGGTCAGCCGACTTCACGCCGGCGAGACCACGGGCGAGCGCGTGCCGGCGCCAGCCGACCTCTGACCGGGTGGGTCAGCAGCGACACGCGACGCCCACCGGCGGGGTCAGCCGGAGTGACCTGCGCCGAGTGGGACGCGCTGACCGACTGGCCGAGTCCATCCTCTGGGCGGTGACCTCGGCCGGTCGAATGGCGCGGCGGGGGCGCCGCAGTCTTTCATCCGGTGTGCTCCTGGGCGGTGACCCCGGCCGGTCGGACGGCGCAGCAGGCGAGCCGCGTTCTCTCATCAGCCGACGGCAGGGCGGGGGCTGCCAGTCCCACCTAGATCCGCCAGAGACAACTCTCGCTCACGCACAGCCGGGCCGGCATGCCGCAGCCCCAGACAGGCCTCTGTCCACCCACGAGCTAACTTGTACTCTCTCTCCTAACGCTGGCCACTGTCGCTGCCCCGCGCGACTCCAACCCGCAGCGACCACTGCCGAGTCTCGAGGACCTCAGTCAGCATCCAGAGCGGTCCGATGGCGCCGGCCCCCGCTCACGGGCGACGGCTCCGGCGCGTCCACCAGCTTGACCGTTCCGCTGGTGCACGAACTGAAATTGCACGCGCAGCTCACCGATCTGCGGACTTCGGCAGCACGCCCGGCACCCACTCGATGACGAACGGCGTCGGGCTCCTGCTGCCTGCGCCGAGATGCAGCCTGCCAATCACAGGACGACAGGGCGTCGGCGGTCAGGAGAGGACCGAGCAAGCGAGATCTGCAGTCTGCACCAACGGCGCCGGGGGGCTGGGCATCATGCCAGGCGAGAGGTGCACTGAGCTGGGCTTATACTTAATAGCTGGGTTTGCTAGTATGCCGGTAAGAGATTTTGAGCGTGTGCATAGCTCTACGGCGGCCGGTAAATAAACACTTCAAGGGCACAAACCGGGCGTGCCGTCGACACTACAATCAACTATTCCTCAACAATCTGCGTAAATCTATACAGAAAATTATTCGCTTGGGTACCAAAACACGCGAACCCTTCTCAAAATGTTTCTGCAGAGAGCTTACCAAGTAGTTCAGTTCCTTTATACCGCTAGCACACTCCACCACCTTTTCTGGTCGTCTCATCAGTGTGGCGTGCCACGGTAAATGGTTAGCCCCTACAATCATCAGGTAGCTGTAGCTTGCCACCATTACCGCCAGCCCATCGAGACCGACCAGTGCCACCAGCGGCGGCACACAACACCCGGCGGCCGGCCGCTGCGGCGGCCCTGGGCGGTACTGACCGACCCTGAGGATGGTTTTGTACTGTTGCGGCTTGATGAGCGGACCGTGCGACAGCGGCTGGGGCGCCGTCTCCGCCTCGGACGGCCACGTGCTCGCTTGTAGCGGCCCGTGTCCGCGCAGAACCGGAAGCTGCGCGTGATGTTCAGCATGATCTGGGGCAGACGCGGACAGTCGCTCAGCTTCGGCGCCCGGTCGGCAGGACAGCGGCGAAGCAAGGGTGCAACGGACACTTCTGGTTTCCCAATGTATCGTCATTGGTTACAGCGAGGTCACGGTAAGCGCATCAGGACTCCCGCGATCCACACCTGTCCTTCAGTGCGTTTGTGAATAAATTGGCCTAGTTTTACGCTCCGCCGACAAAGTCATCATAGCATATTGATGAGCACCGCCCTACACCCTTACATCACCACTTCGCCTCTGTAGCATCGACAGAGGCTATCCAAGTCCGTGCAGTGTTTAGCGAAATGACAGAGCGAGCTGGCTGTGTGCTGCCACGTACGGTGGGCCCGTCGAAGATGGACTTGACGTGCAGGATGTTGGTAATCTGCCACGTGTACTTGGTGAAGGTGCCCAGCGGAGGTGTGTCGGTGCGCGCAAACGACGTCACTTCGTTGGGTAAGCGTCGCTTCTTCACGCCGAACGCTATCCGCTCCTTCAGCGCGGCGAAGAACGTCTGAGAAGGGCGGGTAAGAAGGATTGTCAGCGCACCCAGAGCAGTTGGAGAGGGGGGGGGGGGGGGGGCATATAGAAGTGGTGCGATATCTGCTCACTGTGTAAACAAGTGGAGATTAGGCACAACACTGTTTTTGCATCGACCCGTAGCACATAAAAAAAAATTAAGGAACCATATCCAATACTGTGCACGATACTCCCAGTAACCATTTCTTACAGCTCAGCAACGTGCCTGGCAGTCACCAGTCTGTTCACTCGCCTGTCCCAGAAGTGCGGGCGGGGGGGGGGGGGGGAGCGCCGCGCCAGCGCGCCGCAGTGCAGGCAAGTCACGGCGGCGCCGCGTCACACACCACCGAACCCACCCTGTCACCAGGCGGCGCTGACGAGGCCGAGCCGGCGCCTCAGCATACCGCCTCGCGTCCGCCCCGAACGCCACTCGTTGTCGGCGCGCGCGCGCGCACCGCGACACTCACATGCGGCACGTGGAAGACGAGTGGATCGGGTCGGCCGTCGCACTGGAAGTGCATGGTCTGGTTGATGCGCTCCGTCACGCCGCCCAGCCAGTCGTAGAAGCCCGTGGTGAGGGAGGACTCGCTCTCGGACGCTGCCGGGGGAGGGGCGCGCGTCAGGCGGCGCCACCAGCCACCGCTACTGTCTCCGCACGGTGGCGCCGGGGCCAGCTCACGCGCCAGGCCACACCCAACACGGTACGGCTCCGTCAAGGAGTCACCTTCAGTCTGTTTGAATGGTCTCGCCCCACGTCGGCCGCATCCAATCTACATCCACGCTCTGATCTGGTGCGGCCTACCACGCCTAAGCATCTACTGAGGTGGGCCAGTTTGGAGGCGCTGCCTGCTTTCGCTGGATTATTGGGCGTTTGGCTTGCAATGATTACCGAACCACAATCCGGCCGTTTTCCTCAGGCTAACGCGGTTCCTTCGTCAAGCGTTCCTTTGGCAAATGTAGCCTGTCTCATCCAGCAACTGTGGGACGCCAATGTCGACGACGTCCAGGTGTTTGTCTTAACGGATAACAATTTCGCCTTTACCAGAGCTGACCATCTCTCCTTTCATACAAGCTCAGTCACTCTCATCACATGTCTGGGGCCGTCCTCGGTGGGTCGCGTCTTTCTTCTGTGCAAAAGTGTGGTGCCGTATTCAACGAGAAGACGCCTGGCCAGGCGTTTGTCAGGCCGAGGGTGTCAGGGAACAGCTGCCGATCGGTTCGGTTTCACTCATTTTGCTACTTTTCACCATGGTGAGTTGGAAATCGTTATTGACAGCAATTGAACCCCAATACACCAGAAGGTGTAACTGATTATACAACGTTATCGCGGGCAGCAGCTTTATTCTGTACTGTGCTTTGGTTCCTCACGAACGGGGGCGATTTAACGGCTTGTCCCCGTTTCGTACGAACTTCGTTTTACGGCACCAGTTTTACACGGTTTAACGCTACCGTTGTGCAGGCCACAGTGCGTGCGTCCTGTCCGTTTGCGGGTACGTACTGAGCCGGGGCAGCTTGGCGGGTCGCCGGCTGTGCTGCTGCAGGGTGAGCAGGGCCGTGCTCGCCTGCAGTTCGCCCGTCGGCCGGCCGTGCAGCTGCAGCGTCAGGCCGCCCTCGTCGCCCGTCTCCACCCGCAGCGGCTCGTCGCTGTACTCCAGACCGTGCAGGCCGGCCGCCTGCGTCAGCGGCGCATAGCCGTCAGTGCCGGCGCCGGCCGCGCAGCCGGCCCTCGCGTGACGCGGCGTCCGGTTTAAGGGTGCACTTCACGGCATGGAACGTCGGAGATCTCCTCCACCGAGACGTCACGGGACGAACGAGCCATACAACACCGGGAGGGAACCATGGGTGGGGGGGGGGGGGGGGGGGGAGGGGGGAAGAGAACCATCATGACGTTGAGGGACATCTGGGAAGACGGAATAATCAGGGTGCCAAGATATAAAAAGGTAACAGAACTGTAGGAACATCAGGTTGTCTGGTAAGGACAGCTACAAGAACACCAAACGGTCCAGAACACAACATCGGCGCACCATTTGGACAACATCAGGAGGCCACGTAGTTAATATCGGTAAAAGTTAGCACACTAGAAAAGCTAGCACACTAGATCCAGAGGCTTCTAAAACCGCCGACTTAAAGGTACTGTACCTGCTGACTTAGTCTGGCAGGAAGGTTTTTAAAAAATCCGAAATAGACCTACTCCAGTCGATTTCTAACATCCCAGTCATCCGACTCGATCATTTTATCACAGCCGAGCGAGAAAGACCAGCCGAGCGACGGTGCACCATCTCAGCGGTATGTAGACTGATGAGGCGGCTTCCTCCACAGTCCCGAGGTCTGGCCGACGCCGGTTAGAGGCGCCCCACGCCCGGGGGGCGCCGGTGGGCCGGCTCACCATGGACAGAAGCGCCGTCTGAAATGCGGCTGGCGCAGGTCGATCTGGCCGCTCCGACATTAGGCCATCGGCCCGATGGTAACGGTCGTAAAAGGTCATCACCCGGCTGGTGGTGAGGAAAGGCTTGCCGCGCCGCTGAATGCCCGCCACCAGCCGAAGATCGAATCGAACAGGCTTACCGTCGCCTCCGCGGCGCGCCATCTCCGCGTGCGCCACTCACCTGCAGTATGGCTGACTCCTCGAGCACCTCGACCTCGACCTCGCACATGTCGCCGGCGGCCGACACGGCGCTCACGTCCAACACGGGCAGCGAGTCGGTCGCCTCGGTCGCATCCACCAGATCGCTGAGCAGCGGCACCGAGGAGTCTGCGGAGGGGGGGGGGGGGGGGAGGGTGACACTCGGCACCGCACGGCCCAACCGCAACGGGCCGGTCGGGAGGGAGCGAGGCCACTGAGGGGTCTGCCGACGCGAGCAGGTATGACACTCAGCACCGCACGGGCCGGTCTGGAGGGAGCGCGGCCACCAAGACGGCTCACGGACGGACGCCATGGACAAAAGTCGGACGAACAAAAGATACAACACCTTACAGGTTGGCAGGAGAGTGACTACCGACGGCGCGTCAGCCACGACAGCCAGGCTGCCTAGATTGTCAGGTGCGCCGGCAGACCAGTGAGGGAGAGACAGCCAGGCTGCCCAGACTGTCTGGTCCACCGGCAGACCAGTGAGACAGTTCCACTCGGGAGCGGCTAAATCGGAATTAAAGACTACCACCGCAAAGCTGGCACCGTTTTGCTACGACCAGGCGATCGTCAACGTCTAACATCTAGCATACCACGACCGAAGTCGCCCTCAACATACAAACATTCATATTTCCTTTTGCAATGGACGCAGCGGTACTGCGCTCTGACTCCACCAATGTAAACCAAAAAATCAGCACAGCTCAAGCTGCACGCCGCTGGCAGCGGCTGAATCCGTACCCCTTCAGCGCCGCTAGCAGCGGCTGAGTCCGTACCCCTTCAGCACGCCCCTGGCGACGTTCCGTCAGACCCCCGCCCGGCGGCTGAAGGCCGGCACTCACTGTGCTTCAGACGGGCCCGCTCGTCCAGGTTGACGAAGTACTCGAACTCGTGGCGGAGCGTCTCACTGCTGAGAAAGGCGCAGAAGCAGGCGTACACGTGGATGCAGCGGCGCGACTCGCTGTGACCGGACGAGTGCTGCAACGGAGGCCGGGCCGGCCGGGTCGCCTCGGTCAGGCAGCTCACGCCATGGGCCGCGGTCATCACCGTTTCCAGCGGCATCCTCCACTGCCTCGGTCGATATCAGTAATTATTGCTTCAATAGAAAACAAAGCAGTCCGGCCACATGTAAAACAACGGAAGTCCTTATTCCTGCCATCAGGAGACGTTGACGAGTCAAAATCTACATGGTAACAAATAAGGCGCTACCGTTCTAGTCCATGAAAAACACGAAGTTCACACCAATCATCACATGTGCCGCACATACACCGCGAAAAGTCAGCATTTGGCATCGCTACAAAGCCTCGAACAGCATCACTTTAAAGCTCTCAAACGCAGTTACTGCGGCAGCGCCGCAGTCCAGACAGCCTACACCAGTCAAGAGCAGCTGGGAAAGTCCAGCCACGAGACCACGCTTCCCACGCCTCAGCTCACCCTGAAGGTGGAGCAGGGGCAGAAAAAGCGCTGGTCCGTCTCGGTGGCCGCCGACTTGCCGCTGATGGTGGGCGAGAAGTAGGCGTGCAGGTAGCCGAGCGGGAACTGACGGGTAGGCTTGCACTTGACCACCAGGTAGCAGCGCGAGACCCGCTGCACCAGAGGCCCGCTCGTCTCGGTCGCCAGGTTCCACAGGTGCTGCCGGCAGGCGGCGCTGGTGTCGGTTCCCGACGAGAGCGCATGCGCGGACGGGAGGCAGGTGGAAACGGGCAGCTTTGACGACGAACTGACGCCGTAAGCACGCTATGGGGAGAGACGGGCGACTCGGCATCCAGTATAGCACATAGCCACAGCCAAGGTCCGGGCCAGCCATACTGTTTACATCGCAGCCTCACCAAGGTGTGCAGGGGTACGTGAGGCGCCCTTCTGCCCTCCCCAACAGCGCATTCCGCACATGAGTAGTCGCGAGCTAACACACGGTCCGGTCTTGTAAAACAACCTCCGGAGTGAGCAACCCCACTATTGACTGGTCCTGGACCACCTCTGCACCTACATGTCGCACTCCGGCCAGGTCCTCGCGGTTGCTGAGTACCGAGTACTTGAGCATCAGCGGTATTGCCTGGGTGGTGCTCTGTGCGGCAGAATTGATGTGACGACAAGATGCTTCAGTGCTGCCATCCCGTGGCCGCGAACGTAACTGTAACATGAATAAACAAACGTTTGGCAAACTCGTTGCGCACTGATCAAGATAAGCCGCAAATATGCTCAGAAAAACAAGGTGATTTTGTAGTTGATGTAGCTGGACACACGCACGCACGCATATCTATCTATCTATCAATCTATCTATCTATCTATCTATCTATCTATCTATCTATCTATCTATCTATCTATCTATCTATCTATCTATCTATCTATCTATCTATCTATCTATCTATCTATCTATCTATCTATCTATCTATCTATCTATCTATCTATCTATATATATATATATATATATATATATATATATATATATATATATATATATATATATATATATATATATATGGACCATTACCCCAACCTCAAATGTTGTACCCAATCATTGTGAACACAATCAACATCCCAAGAAACTACGCGGTCTACTCCGGTTGGTCAATACCCAGGAATAGCAGATGAACATGTAAGTACCCGCTGACACTTGTGAGTGCACATTATGGAGGCCTCCTACCCATGCCCGTCGGTCTGGGCCCAGCTCAGCGCAGCCCCCGACATCGGCCGCGTCTCGGTCCGTCCAACACCCGCCCAGTGGCCACACCTTCTGACAGGAGGCGACGTGGCAGCATGGCGACTCGGTGTCGCCGCCCAGGCTCTGCACGGGGTCCGGCAGCTGGACGAAGCCGCGCATCTCCGGGCCCGACTCGCGCACACGCACCGAGAACAGCATCTGCGGTACGCAAAGGCATCATCAACATTACAGTAATCGGTCAGACGGTAATCAAATTGAGCGAGCTACCGCCTTGACATGTACTGGCACACAGGGAAACCAAAGATACCCATTAACCTGGCTGCATCTCAACAGCCAACAAATGTCATTCGTCGCGGTCGGCGGGAAGCGCCGACATGTACCAGCAGATGGTTCCATACAGGAGCAGAGTCAACACCACTTCTCCCCCACATACCTGTTGTGAGGAGCCCGTGCTCAGCTTGGAGGCCGACTTGGATTTGACCTCGGTCGACTTCTCGCGGAACTTGACGTTGCATGACTTGTTCTTGCACGAGTTGCCGCGCGTGCCGTTGAGAGTGCCGCACTGGGGGCACTTGCGCACGCCGCGCATGGTGGCGCGTCCCAGGTCGGAGAGCAGCGACTTCAGCTTCTTCTCACGGTCCTTGTCCGGCGAGGACGCCATGCTCCTGCGCAGCGGGCCGACACGCGCGGTGAGCGGGCGACGACGCACGGTGAGGGAGTTAGATCTGATATAGAACGACTTTACGTGGGGTATGCCACCCAGTGGCGAGATGTCGGGACGCTCCACAGATCCACCGATGTACATTTCCCTTGCAGTATGTAGGGAAGGCGTTGCAAGATTTTTAGCATGTTGCTGCACACATCCAACACCACGGATGTGTGCTGTGGTCATTTGCCTACGATAAAAAATGCAGCCTTGATCAAGTAATGCCTTCAGTAATCCCTCAGTGCAGACCAGTCAGCTCGCGCTTGAGGAGAGCTGTGACTCAACAGTGGCATCAGCCGCTGTATCGGAGCGGACACGGCGCGCCTGGCTGCGGCGGCCGCACTGGCGCTCAGGCCGTGGTAGACCGGGCTGGGCTGGCGCGGCCTGTCAGCACCAGCAGCGCCCAGACTGCATGGCAGCAGGTCTGTGGACCCAGCCTGCGCCGCCACTGGCGGGCCGCCGGTGCTGCGCCCGCGTGATCGGCCTAAGCCGAGCAGTAGCAGAGCCCTAAACACCGATCTTTTAGTGCTCAGTCCCTATCAAACGTGAAGTGAGAGTTTCTGAGGCTGGTTATTCTGAAATGCCCAGGATTAATATACATGACAAAAAATATGTGTTCCAGGCCAGCACTAATGACAAAATGAGTAGAATGTTTTTTCCAACTGTTGTAACATCCACTGTTTAGTGGTATGGGTGAGCTGGATGAGTGAATAGTTGAAGCTCCACAAAATGGGTGGAAAAGAATGTAGCTATATAGTGTATGTAGTGTTAATGCAGGTAATGGAAGCCCTTCCAAGTTCTGGGGGCATCCATTTTTGGTTATTTTCCATCAATGCCCATAGGGTCAATGCTAAATTTAGGGAAAATTGGAAGGTTCAGTTCTCCTTGCCCTCATAGCTTCTGCAACCTTGGAGGTTACATGGTAAACAAATTTATGAAGACCAATCCTGGTTTGCGAACTTTTAAAGACCTGCCTCTCATGCCCCTTGCACACATACTATATACAAGATGTGGTAAAAATGTGATGATAATTATGATTGGAGTTTTGGGCTTGCTGGTGTTTGATGGTAAAAATGCAAGTGCTAATTATACATAATAATCAAACTCACATTTCATGCTTCTGTAATACAAACTTTCAGATATTTTGTGTGAATTCCATGAATAAGACTGCATATTTATGTGCATTCCATGCATAAGACTGCATCTTTCTGTGCATTCCAGCCTTGCACCACAATTATGCACACCAATGTCAAGAAGCCAGACCATGATGACACCCACACCCCTTTTTAATCTCACAAAGTAAGGGCAGCTACCTATCAACTGCCAGAACAAAACAGGCCAACTTAAGTAACAGGACAGCATGTTCTGGCTGAAGTGAGCCAGATGAAGACACACTGAAGGTCACACTAGCACAGATTACCCTGTATTCTTTATAAAGGTAAACACAGAGTAGCAAATGTCTAAGCATTTTTCAGATGCTTCATGCACTGTACGTGGTCAAATGCACAGGATAGATCAGAGCATTGGAATGCTCATATAATGCACTCAATCATGATGTGGGGTTGGCCCAGTGAACCTGAGAGAAAAATTCACTGCTGAGAATAGCAGCCTGATGCCTATCCACCTATTTACCTAAAAACCCGCTTGTTTTTGACACAAAGTTAATACAGGGACTCAATTTTGCAGTCACAATTTGGGTAGCTTATGTCCCAAGCACATAACTACATAACTTAACCCCTAGAGCTTGTTGCAAACTGATAACAACGTGCAAGTCCTGTCACCATCGAACACACTTAATTCAGCACTAGTGTCAAAATTATACAATGAGACACTGCTACGGGATAAAAACATCAGCACGACACGTCACGGTTCAGATTGCTGCCAACAATATGGTGTATCTAAATGGAACGAGAACCTCTTACCTCTATAACAGTTTTACGCGCAGATGCTTGAACTGAACTGCGCGACCTGAAACTGCAGCAACCGACCCACCTCCCATCTACAACCGCGGCCGCGGCAGAAGTTCACACAGCAGGCAAGCTCAAGGTATTCGTAATTCATTTCTCTTCTCGAAATTGGATAAGGATGGGTGGTGGTTAGTAAACAGCTGATGAGACGACGTAATTGAGAGCCTATTCGCGTTACGTTTGTGGCGAATTTTGTTCCAACTTCAATTTTCTGAGCTAAATTTTTCCACATCCATGTGAATTAATGTAGCCAACCGCCAGATCTTACCAATTTTGCTGGCATGAAGTTTGGATCCGAGAGGTGGGACGGGAAGGGGAGGGGGCATTGGGATCATGTGCCCTTTTAAGTGGGGACGTACCTCCATTTGTGTTATCTTTATCTAGACTGCCTCGGAGCTTGGTGGCCACGGTGGAAATAGATGGTGGGGATGGGCGGTTGCCAACTCTAGGAAAATGTAGCATTTGATTGAAGAACTTGGTAAACCGGGGTGAAATAACTTTTATCCCAGTTCAATCCGTTCAAATTTCTCGGTCGATCCGACGTCACCGCTTAGGATGAGAGCACAGTTTTAAATCGTTTCCGTTGATGAAATGGCAAAGCGCTGTAAAAAAAAAAATTGCCAGAGGCCGGCCTCTCGCGTGATTCTGTCGTCCTCTCACATCCGCATCGAAGATTATAAGCCGAGTCCAGATCATGTGCTCGACCTCATAGGCGTCACATACTGGTGAAGCCCCATCCTTATCTGTTATCCATCCGCACAAGATCTGCGAAACACGGTCGTCTACAGTCGCATCCACGCTGTACAGACGTATGTACTATATTGTATGGTGGGTTTATTGTCTTATGACACAAAATCACAGATGAGACAGTATGATACTCATGATAAATACGTCGCAATTGATGCAGTGAACAGACGCAACAGCACACATCAACCAATTTTCCAACGGGCATCTTATGCTTCTAATGGTTGAACGTTGCATCGAATGATGAAATGCTCTGTGCACGACAACAACCGCGAAGACGATGTCACAGCTGCGATCATGTACGCCAGTCGATACAACTGGCATAAATGACGCAAAAACGTGACGACCCCATACTAACGTGACATGGCATCGATTATTTGCAAGAGATGAACGTCACGATAGTGGACTCACAGACGGAGTCGAAATCACCCCATGTTTAGGCCTTTGCCAAAATATCGTGGCCAGACAGCCCAGCAATGCATTAAACGCTTGCAAACGATATTTGACCACAAACTGCATGACGAAGGCCTGCGCTTTAGTACTTTGTGCAACATACTCTGTTCCACGCTGTACGGTAACGATTACGCTGTTAGCTTCCACGCACCGTTTCAGTGCTCAACGCATTATCAGAGGAGTGCTGCACGTACACTTCGGACTCAACAGACAGACCAGCGAGCTGCTCAAAAATGGCAGCATGGCTCAACATGGCAATGCACCATGCCTAATGGCAGCGAAAAGCACCACTGTGCACCTGACGAATAGGTGTTTCCATCTGTCACATACAACAATGACCGACAGCCTCAAGCGTGCCCAGCCGATACATGTCGCATGTTAATATTTTGCACAAGTTTACGAGCAAGCAGCTTTACAATGACATAGGCCGGTCGCATGTATCGCGCACCAATGTTTACCCGCGTGTTAACCATCGCAACTAACGGTCTCTTATCCGACTCGAAGCATGTGTGTCTGCACCACACAAGCGCACCAAATGCATCAACGTGCTCGAATGAAGTACTGCCAGTCGGCACGCCTCCACGACGGTCAGCGCATAGACGGGCTCATCGCACACAAACACACCTCATACCGGGGAGCCACCTGTCGGAGAACACCGGAACTTGTCGTCCTTCGAGCGGTCGTACTCCTCAATAAACCACTGCTGGTTCAGATAGAACACCCGGGTTACGAGCTGATAAATGGAATATTTCGCCTTTATCTCGCAGTACATGCCGACAAAGAACGACGCGAAGAACAAGATGCCGCAGACCAAGGTGACTGTCTCGTTAGACGTGAGTTCCGCTTCGTCGTACGCCAGCCGCCGCTTTCCCGAATCCTGTCAAGCAAGACCCACTCGTTAAAAGAGGCACCACCTCATTCTGGAGTGCGGGAAGCTCCATGTAACACATACATGGTACACGCATGAACACAGGCAGCACGGTGGTAAAGGCTATCGCATCACATGCAATGATATTTCAAAACCTTGACCTTTCATTTCGAGTCTTAAGTTACAGGATAGTATATCTGCAGGCATAAATAGCACAGCTCAGCGATAGCCAGTTCTGCTCTGCTCAGTGCAAGGATGAGCTCTACCATGCAGGAGCCCCCAGCTGCCTTCAATAATCCTCTTTTCTTAACGAAGGAAAAGCTTCACCCAGCATTTCCACATCAATCGACAGAAGGCCCGAGGAAGCTTCGTTATCAGCCAATGATAGCGCACAAAAGGTGGGTACGTCATGCAGTCAGTTTATTTCACTAGCAACCTAGCCGCGCTGTTTACGTCCTTGAGACCGCCAGTTAGTACTCTCAATAGTAATGTCAGGCGCCTGACCATCCGGGGTATTGATTGAAAGATGTGTGAAGGCCCCATTCAATGTGTGCGAAAGTGTTCTGTTCTATGTATCTCCATCGGTTCTATCGGTTATACATATTTTTTCATGTTTTTGCAGATAGACAGCCATATGTTAAATGTCTGTCCGGAATATGCGCGGACAGTTTATCTCTACGGCATGTATGTATATATATATATATATATATATATATATATTTCTATCTATCTCTCCATATATATATATATATATATACATATATATATATACACAGACATGCCGTTAATATAAATTTTTTGCGCATGTTCCGGACAGACAACTAACATATGGCTGTGTATCTGCAAATATATGCAGATATATATATATATATATATATATATATATCAAACAGATAGAACCGATGGAGACGGATAGAATAGAACGCTTTCGCACACACTGCATAATATACTTATATATTAATACATAGAAAGATGTATACATATACATAGTAATAGAAATGTATGTACGTAAATCATATATGAGCCCGCAGCACACAGGACGCACCCCACAACTGGCGCTGGCTTTAACACTGCCTCACTCCTTTATCCGTCGCCCCGCCCTCCTCTCATCAGAGCCAATGCCCTCGTTCGCGTGTAAACTGCCTTTGAAGTAACCACATACATCAAATCTCGTTTTCCGTCCAATAACGGGGCGTCAATCTGATGCTATGTCATCCGACATCGGATGACGACGTCGAACACGGAGCGCATTCGTTCCGCTTCAGAACGCCGCAGGGATCTCCTCTCACAAGTGGCATCGGACGGAGCCGAGGGGGTCCTAACCAGGTGAGCACTCTACCACGAACAGGTCGTGACCTGTATGTTCAGGGACTGCCCAGACGGGTGGAGCCGAGGAGAATCCTAACCAGGTGAGCACTCTGCCACGAACAGGTCGTGACCTGCATGTTCAGGGACTGCCCAGACGGGTGGAGCCGAGGAGAATCCTAACCAGGTGAGCACTTTGCCACGAACAGGTCGTGACCTGCATGTTCAGGGACTGCCCAGACGGGTGGAGCCGAGGGGAATCCTAACCAGGTGGGCACTCTGCCACGAACAGGCCGTGACCTGCATGTTCAGGGACTGCCCAGACGAGTGCAGAAGCTGACGCCGTGCCAAGACCAAGTGCAAACGTGTCTGTCAGCCTATCCATCGCGGGACATTGTCACAGACACATCTGCCGTGCGAGGAGAACCACTCTTCACCCTTTTGGAGCCCGACAAACGATGCAGTGTATCTCTGACAGCTCTGATCAGGTGGCATTAACATCACATGCCATCAGCGTCTCACGTGCCTGTTTGAAGCAGAAGATGGTGATGACGGCGCAGGTCACCATGACGATGGCAGTGATCACGAAGAGCGCGTGCAGCAGCTTGTCCCGGGTGGAGACGGCCGGCACGAGCCAGCGGCCGACGCGGAACCGCTTATGCCGCTGGTACTGGTACTGGCACAGCTCGCAGCAAGGTGGTCGCTTGGCCCGCCGACTGGACACCTCGATCCAGTGCTGTCGGCAGAGCCTGGCGTCATCGTCCGCTCCCAGGACGGCCGCGGTCGGCAATGCAAACCAGTGCAAAACATGTCTCGGTTATCTGGCATGTGGGGCAGCGACGGACTGACGCTGGGCGCTGCCAGGGAGATGCCTGCCGTATACATATCGTTTTTTTTTTTAATTTCTAGCGATATCGCTTCCGTACAAGCTGAACGAATGGGCAGCGTACTAGTCCTATTTCGAGCGATAGCACTTCTACAAAAATGGAACAGGTGGGCAACGTACTAGTCTTAGATCCATCACCAGAAAGCATGCCCTATTTTCTGGACCAGAATAGGTCTGCCCGCCGATAAGCCGTGCTTAACCCTGTGTCACGCGTGCACATCACCCCAACCCCATTGTTTCAAGCTGGAGAGCGATCGACAGTGAGAATACGTCGACGTCCCGGCGCGAGAGCAGCGTGCTGCCGCAAACCGAACGCCCCAGCGGCGGCGCGAGCCCCGCTTGCTGTTTCAAAACACCAGCCAAGCGCGACCCGAGCGACACGTGGACCAACTGCACCCACCATGAGACAGGCGGTGTGTATGTACTGCATGGTGCCGGCGCAGCGACAGGGGGAGATCAGCTCCGCCCGTTCCTCGGACGGCATGTGGCAGATGCGGCAGATCGGCATCGACGCCGTCGACGCCGACGTGACCAGCGACGGCTCCGACAGGGCGTGCCGCAGCGGCGTCACCATCTCCAGCTCGTCGGCGCGCACGGCCGAAGCCGCCTCCTCGTCGGCCGCGCATCCCCGCGCCTCCAGACTCCAGCTGCGCACCCTGCCGGGGGGACCAGGAGCGTCAGCACACAGTGCCAGCTGTGGGCAGCGCGCCGAGCGTCAGCAAGGCACGGACTGTCAGCAGAGCACAACACGACTACGACTGTCAGCGGAACACAACGCGGTACCGACCGTCAGCGGAGGACCCGCCGTAGGCACTGCACTGTCAACAGAGCACAGCACGGCACCGAAGCGGAGCACAGCCGGCACCGACTGCGAGCGGAGCACCAATCGTCGGCACTGTACCGACTGTCAGCACAGCACAGCACGGCACCGACTGTGAGCGGAGCACCAACTGTCGGCACTGTACCGACCGTCAGTAGGGCACAGCACGGCACCGACTGTCAGCGGAGCACCAACCGTCGGCACTGCACTGGCTGTCAGCGGAACACAGCACGGCACCAACTGTCAGCGGAGCACAGCACGGCACCGACTGTCAGCAGAGCACGAACCGTCGGCACAGTGCAGGCTGTCGCCTGTTGGACCGAACACGGCAGGCACGGCACTTCGGCCGACTTATCACAGACTTCCGGTGCGCAGCGTAAACACGGCGCGCTGTCGCAGCGCGGACCGTTACCAGCGACCAGCGTGACGGACCGTTACCATGGATACGCCACAGGCACGCGGTGATGGACGATGGCGGGCGTAACGATATCCTCCAAAAGCAAGGTGTTTTGGCTCATTATATACGATGGTCTCCACGGGTAAACGACAATGGCTTGACCCTCCATACACGTTGTGGTCATCCCTCGTGTGCAGGCCATGGCGAATACAGTACGGCATGCTATATGCTAGAACATGTGTATCATTAGGCTGATGTGTTCAGCTTCGCTCCAGTTAACGACAAAAGCAGTTTTAGCTGTTTGCGGGTGTAAGTCGGTGATTGTGTTTCGCACGCCCCCACATCTCGGATTTCTTTTCAATAGCAGGCTCTTCGAAAAGAAAGCCAACTTCCTTAGTCTTTATCTCTTATTTCTGGACAAGACAGGGCTGAAATTAGCCCCATATCCAAATAACAAAGTGTCTTATGAACACAAAGCACCGATCAAATTTGCCCCCCCCCCCCCCCTCCTATCAGCACAGCTGCCACATGCCCGTACACGGCCCATCAATTTCATTGGCACGCTCGAGTCAAGCGTCCCGCGCCGCCAGCGAACACCTGCGTCACACCTGCACCGAACGCCGGGCGCCCGGACGGTCTCCTGATGACTGAGGGCTGCCAGCGGCAGGGGTCAGTCACCTGCGTCAGGCGCGCCGCCAGAGTTCGTCGCAGCCAGCGGTCAATCCCAAGACAACAGGCCCGTGGCGGCACGCACCACTCATATGCCAAATGTGCCTGCGGCCCAACATCGCTGGTCGCCTGGCAACGTACGCTTTGAGGTTGTCAGGGGCATGGTGCAGACGCGCAGAACAAGACTAAAATTCGAGCACTTCGTGTTCTTTTTGACGAGGACACGCACAACGCCGGCAGCAGCGCCGCCGGCGCACCGGCGCGTGTTACGCGTACCGCACGCCTTCGTACGGGCGCGGGCACCACCAGCCGGCTTTCATTATCAGGCCCATGCTCCAGGAGGCCGGCCATGGGTTACTGAAAATGCGGTAACCACATAGTGTTTGTAGATTCTCTGACTAGCGCGATTGGGAGGACAGCAAAACAATGAATGGACGATGTCCATGCAGCAAACATCGCCGCGGGTCCGACCAGCGCGACGAACGCAGCCCAGAGGCGAATCAAGCGCAGACGGGTGCTGTGTGGGAGAAAACCTGTGATTACAATGGAAATGACTCCGACCAAAGCCAGTGTGCTCCCTTCCAGACGAAAGTCGCGTCTCCAACATGAAGGTGGGCAATGTGGAGGAGAAGGGCAAGTGTTCCATCTCGAACCTCTCAGATGAGACTCCACCGAATGCACAGTGAGACGTAACGAATCGCGTCTGGTGGCTGGCGAAACTCCTCCCCGGTAGCTAACGGCCGCGTCGCGTGCGTCAGCGCCGTTTGGCTTTGGGAGGGCGCGTCTCAGTTGGTCTCGTCTGTTAGCTGGAAGTGAAGCACTGGCTAGGGATGCGTCATGCGGTTCAGCGGAGTCCTCTGCCCTGACAACAGCAGCATCGTGTTCCGAGAAACCCAGCGGTCTGAAATGGGGGAGGCTGGCGTGCAGCCACCAGGTCATGCCAAGGAAAGAAAAGCTGCACCGAATGGTCTTGCATTATGGCATATTAAATCGCTGAATGTCACACAATCATTGACCTAATGGTACGGGAAAGGAAAAGTAATGGCCTAGACTAGCTAAGATACAAAACGACGGTGTGTAATTCTAGAATGTGGTCGCGGATAACTGTAACGATTAAATCTAAGCCCAATATTTTTTTTACTCACTACAAGCGTCGTACTTTGCGTCCACGCCAGCCCTTCAAAAGGACGCTACACTCGACATCTATGCTATTTCCGTACATGGCTCACAGTTCTCAGAGTGAAGCTATTTTTAGTTGTGTTAATTTGTGTCCTCAGCCCGCCTTCAGCAATGCTATAGCTTGCAATAAACCACACGTTTGCAAGCAATGAGCCATTTCGGTAGGGCAGACTTGGCGAATGCAAACCCATCTCGGCTGATGACACATTTACATGTTACACTTTTTCATTCTGTTCGGATGTTTCCGAAATCCGAATCCAATTATCAGTCTGTTGCTTCTCGTCTTATATATATACATATATATATATATATATATATATATATATATATATATATATATATATATATATATATATATACATGTACGTACGCAAATAATATACATACATATATATATATATATGCAAAAATGATTTGTATACACATATATCATTTCTTCTATATACCGTCTTCTGTAAATGCGATTTACAAACGGGCACACATAAGAAATGGATGGGAACGGACGCTCAAGAAACAGCAAGAAACGGAAACACTTAACGTGAGACGCACCGAGAAAACAAACCGAGTGCTTTTCCGAACGCAACTCGATTCCAAATTTGCGTCGGCCCCAACGTAAATGCTGAACAGGTGGTGGCTACTAGGTGTCTACCAATTTAAATCATAGCTCGGAGCAGATGCGCGGTGTCCAAATGGTCTTGAAAATGGGACAGGAAACATTGGTGAAACAGCCAATCGTAAGTGATTGGCTGAATAAGAATCGTAAGTCTTATCGTGCGTGTTATGTGTGACAATGACGAGCGATGTGTCCCGACGTATTGAATTGCAATTATGTATAGGATAGATTATGTACGCACATATACAGTAGGAAGCGTGTGGAAAACAGGAGTTTTAGGAGGATAATGCAAATTTGAGAAATTAAGCTGTAACCAGATGCACAAAGGTGAAAAAGCAGCCGCGCAACATTAAGGAAACAAACATGCTCGTATTTGGACAGTTTGAAGCAAAATGCTAAGTCGTTATTGATAGCGACGTAAATACAAACACTGTCCAACCGCTGGTTTGAGTGGTCTGTGGCCTGTTCTGACCAAATAAGATACACGATGTCTGTTGACGAATAGTTTCGCCGAAGTCCAACCATTGCAAACTGCTCGTTTCTTGCGCAGTGCTTTTCTGCTCCCCAAAACTGTTGATTTTACGGTGTCGTACAGTAAACCATCCCGATCGTAAAGTACACAAGCGGCCTTCTTGCAATTGCAGCCGCATTGCATTTTGATGATTCTGGCTCTGCCCTGGATGCGGCATGTGTCTTTGAAAGATGATACGGAGGTTTGCGATTCAGGAAGCGATATGGGAGATCTGTCTGACTACCTTCTTTCCTCCTCAAAATCGTCCGTGAGCTATGTTAAACAGGTTTGGACTAGGCGCCTTGTGTGTCACAGTGCGCCCGAGGAGGCTTCAAGGGGCACATGTGATATTTAGAGCAAACACGGAAAAATCGTCAGCGGCCACAAAGCATCCGCATCCCACGCCACCACCCTCAGTTGGCAGCAGCGGCCGGCTCGGCGTGGCAACAGGTCGCAGCGGGCACCGGCTGATGGGCAGACCCGACTCCCAGGTGCAGCCCGCGGCGGTGATGTCAGGCCGTTTGGCGCGCCTCCAGCCGGATCCGGTCCGATCCGGTACGACCCGGTTCTCGCCGGGACGGTCATGTCCCTGCCGCGCGGCTCGTCGGCAGACATCACCGGAGGTGGGCGGGTCAGGCCGCCCCGGAGCCGAGCAAGCCCCCCGGCCCCACCGGCCGATGCAGCGCGTCTCTCCCTGCGGCACGCGTCGTGCCCCGCGCAGGTCGCCGGGTTCCCGGCCGGCGCTGAGGTCGAGCCCTGGCCGTGCCCGGTTTGGGTCTCCCTGAGCGCAGATGCTGACTCCTCCCTGTGCTGGTCCGGTCTCCATGTGCTTAACAGACCATCCGCAAGCAGCCAAACCTCACCCGTGACCTCTGGCTCGCCATAGCGTCTTCTTCCAGCACTGGATCACATGACCCTGCCGCTCAGCCAACTCGTGAAGCCGCTGGAGCCAAACACCTTCAGGTTGGAACAGCGAGCACAGTTCAGGTCAAATGTGAAGGGGTTCGTTATACACAAGTGTACCTCGCGATTCAGACAATGCTGAGCAAAAATGGTAAGTCTAGCTGCGTCTCGTATGATTTCCCCATTTACTATGCAGATGGCTTTCCTGACCATGCCTGGAAGCCGGCGTACACCCATTCAGGCGTACTGCGCGCAGCCACCACCCTCCCGGACCGGACAAAGCCACCCTGGTACGGCCCTGGCGGCGTAGATGACGCGGAGAGAAAAACTCGTTTGCCGGTCGTGAACACGTGTGCCGCGTCCAGTTTCCCAGTCGCGAGTCTTGCCGCCGCGCAAACGGCAGACCCTACCGCCGCGAACGGTAAACAAAGACTGCTAAGTTGGCGCACGGCCAACGGTACGCAGCCGCGGAGGGGGGAGGGGGAGGGGTGCGCAGCTGACGCACCGACGAGGCCGTCCACGGACGCTGCGTGCCAGGGCTCGGCGCGTGGCAGCGGGGCGGCTCCAACACCAACAGGGAGTTCATTAGACGCGATGGGGAAGGCTTTAGGCTGCAGGGACCCGAATATTCGCCAGTGAGGTTTGTGCGACAGGCGTCTGCGGCTCTTATATTGCGAGATGTGCGTGATATGCACGAGTCTACTATTTTTTTTTTAAATTTTGGAACTACGCTTGGCTCTCGCTCATCCTTCAAACTATGTGACTTACATGCATTTGGATCCTTTCACACTTAGTCATGTTCGCACTGAAAGGACGATGAATTGCTCACTTTACGTGCTTAGAGCATCTTTTAGGGTGGGGTTTGCATGTGACCGACGGCGTTTGAGCCTCTGCCCTCCACCGACCGCGTCCGCCCGCACATTTCCCAATTTAACCATGAGGATGGACGTTGGGTAGGATTGATTAACTACTGATGTACAACGAAAAAATACAGTTCTTCTTACAAGAA